AGCCCGAGAAAACTTTGCAGCCAAAATCGTATCAGGACCGACGGCAAGAATCCTAGCTTCCTCCTCTTCCTCCTCCACCGTAATATCATACCAGCTTTTACGTTTTTCTGTATGAGGGTCCATAGACAGAGGCGCACAGTGGATTGGAGATAAAGGGATCTGAGAGGAGGGCATCAGGTGATCAAAATTAAGCGACTTCTTCGCTGAGCTCCCCGTCTCCGAGGAGACTGCTGGGTTGGGAAGAGATTGCTCGCCGACCTTGCCTTTCCCTTTCTCCAGAGAAGAGCTTCTTCTAGAGAGATGAAGTTTAAATGGTCGTTCCCTGTTAAACTTCGGGGAAGAATTTCCTTGCTTTGCTCTTGAAGGAGCAACAAGAGCGTCTAATACGGTGAGTTGAGAGTCTGAGATTTGAGATGGCGATGGCTCAACTCTTTGTGAAGGTTTGTGACTAGGAAGTTGTGAAGGATGATAGAGAGTGAGACCCTTACGACCCTTACTGGTTGGTTCCATGTTCTTCTCCTGAGAGAAAGAGTAATCAAAGCGTCGTTTCCGACCATCCTCACCTCTGCTTCCCCTAGAGACTTCTGAGGAGGGAGGGCGCCTTCGAGACGAATGATTCATTAGGTTAGTAGACACTGGGACACGGCGAAAAGTCTTAAGGGACTGATGTTGTTGCTGACGATAGCTCCCACTTCTAGCAGCGTGAATTGTGGATGAGAGCAGTTTCTCAGACGAATGACCTACAGCCAGAAGAAGATTCCTCCTTCCATGACCAGAACGAAGCGAGACAGAGAGGTCAAGAGAAGGGAGAGGGGGAATGTTTGAGCTCTCCCCTCTACTGGAGAACCGCGGGTTCCTCTGTTCCTCCTCAGCAAGCAGAGCGCGTCGTTGAGAAGAATCAAGAAGAGGTCACGAGTCAAGCTCATGACAAATACGGCGACAATAGGTGCACCATCGAAAGAGCTTCTCATAGAACAATTTGACTTTCACCATCTCGCCTGTGGGAAGCTGAGCGTTCTTATTAAAGCGGAAAGGAGCATCTGCTTTAACAGGGATTTGGAACCTACCATTGGTAGAGTCCACTCTATGGACCACCCCAAGAGTGCTGGCAAAGTTCCTTAAGGCTACCTCCTCCCAAAACTCAGCTGGAAGACCTTCAGATCTGACCCAAAAGGTCATGTTTCTGGGAAGGAAGTTCCAGAGTTTGGTACCCAACGTTCAAGAGCAAATGACCACTTGTTAAAGTGACAAGGGCGTTTGTTCAAGATCTTCAAGTGGTCTGCTTCAGATTCAAAGAAGAACTGAAACCGAGACTCACTGAGAGAAAAACCTCTAACACGTACTTCAACGTCCCAGATGTGTTCTTTAGGGAGAAGGGAAACAAGAGCGTCGATGCTCCGACCACCTTGATGAAATATCCGTCCCACCAAACTCAAGTTAAGGCGAGCTAGAATAGCAGTGTTATCAACCGGAGGGAGCACAAAGACATCCTCTTCATCCTCAGGTTCAAAAGCAAAGGGAGCTTGTTTTGGAGGAGAATCCCTATACCAGCTTGGTGTCTCTCTCTTCGACATGGTTAGAGAGTAGAAGCACAGAAAAAGAAGACAGAATCTTAGCTTTACGCTAGAAGAGGAGGGAATGGCGCTGCTATTGCAGGAGATCTTCAAAACGGAGCACAACTCTTGACTCTCACAGGCTAGACTGGGAAAAGCAGAGGAAAGAAGAAGAACGGAGACCAGAGGGAAAAGAGGCGGTGAAAGGAGACGAGAGGACACAACGGACGCAGCGATCTAGAAGAAAGTCCATTGGAAAACCTAAAGCAAGAGGGTTTAGAAGAGAAAGGAGACTTGCCCAAAATACCTAAAAAAGGTGGGTGAGATCTACCCAATTTGAAACTCTTTGCATTTTATAGTTATTTGGGAGCTCGTGCCCGAGAGAGAAATATTTTCTTTGTCTACTTCTAATAACAATATATCTTAGTTTGATATCAAATCCAATATTTGTTACCACAAACTCAAATCACACACATGGTTTGGCACAGGGTCTATTACTTTTTCTTGTCTTTTTTCTGAATAAAATACGGTCCAAAATTTTTTTTTTCCAAAAACCATAGAGAAAAATGCCCATTTTTTTTCCAAGCTTAGGGACTTTAATAAAATTGAGCCGGTTACGGATAATAGGTTGGGTAAGGTATAAAATGGGGTATACATATTAGGGTAATATATATTAGTAACTAGCCATAGAATAGAAAAATAATGAAGAGAATAGCTTTGCGTCAGAATTTTTAGGTAAATAACGTTTTCTGGGATAGGGTAAATACGAAAATATTTTTCTATTATCTTGTTTTTACAACAACACCAATGGTAGTGAACTAGTGATTAACGAGTTTTTAATGATTGTGTGTAGTGGTCATAGAAAAATCACGTGATTATGTGAAATAGCATGATATATTAACAAAACACATGCAATTACAAATCATGAAGTATTGACAAATATGTATAATTGTTACCAAAAATACATGGGTTTTTGTTGGATAGCGTGACAAATATTTATATATCAATGTTAATAGCATGCTTTATCTTTAAAATACATGTGTTTTCAAAATCAGATACGTGTATTAAAATTAGATCTAAATTCAAATATCATGCCGGTCAATGGTGGAGAAATCTGGCGAGAAAGGGAAGCAGAGAGCAGACAAATGATGAGTGAGGAAGAGATTTCCATTGAAAAAGAAAGAAACGACAGTTAAAAGATATGAGACATGAAGATAGAGAAAAATAGATTTGGTGGTGAAGAGATCCGATGGAAAAGAAAGAGAAGGAGAAAGAAAGAGAAGATTCAACGGTGATGAGTTATGTTAAAAAAAAAAAAGAGAAATCCAATGATAGAAATAATTTGTGGCTGAAGTCTCGTCGGTGAGATATATTTTATTTAACTGAAGGGTAATATTAGTAGATAGCCAAATTAGACACATAAATTAAGAAACTAGCATAGAGAAAGGTTTTTGTCGGAAAACAACGATGGACCCACGTTGTCAGAGGATGTGAAATAACAAAATCATCTTCCGTTTGTTTTGAGATCAACATTAGGCGAGATTGTTTCGTGAGATTTTTCAAAATAGCACGTAAGATCTAAATTTCACATGTTATATTTAACTAAAAGACATGATATTTCAAAAAACGTTGTGAATTTTTAAGAAAAAACATTGTTACGTAGTGTTTTTTTTAAAAAAAACATTGTTATAGAAAAATTAAACTTGAATAGAATCTTTTTTTAAAGAAATAACATGTGATCTTAATAAAAACCATGAATTATTATAAAATAAGAATCTTTTTTTAAAGAAATCATATGTGATCATAATAAAAAAAAATGAGTATTACTACAAAATAACATGATAGAGAGAGATATTAAACTGAATAGAGTGTTTTTTTCAAGAAATACCATGTGCTCTTTTTAAATAACGTGTAATACGACAAAATAATATAATAAAAGAGATATATTATTATATCACATGTAATTCGAGAAAAAAAACTTGTTATAAAGGGCATGTACGTAATTACATGTGCTTCTCGACATGATACCGACAAGTTACTGTAGCGTATGACTATTTTCTTAATTATCCTCAAAAATTTGGCTATTTTGTACATATTCCCTTAATTGAATACCTATTACCCTCAAATCAAGTTCACCATATATGGCTATATAAAACTTTAAAAGCATTAATTTAAAAAACTCTATCTTGATGTAATGGTTAAGTTATCATTTTAGTCAACAAGAGTACAAGTTCGACCCTTTACATTTTTTTTTGAACGACCTAGGCCTGTCAAGCGGGTCCAACACACAACCCGTCCCGCAGTGGGTTATATAAGTTTTCTACCTACCCAACCCAACCCGCCAAATTTGTAAATTAATATAGTTGATCCGCATTCATCCTACTATAATTTTAGGACACCCGTGGATAATCCATAAGTTTTTAAATCATGTTAAAAATTGAAATATATATCATTTTAATAAAATTAATCTTTATATGTAAATTTTAATGTTAAAAATGTAAATTCATAAATTATGAAAATAAATTTTTTTAAAAAATCATAATTAAGAAGTTTCTATATTAAATATTATATTTTTAAATTTGAACTACTAAAATTTTTAAAATAATAACAACTAATATTTTTTAAAAACAAAATTTACGGGTAACCTACGAACCCGCAAAATATATATCATATAGTCTCTAACATTAAAATTTAGAATTAAGCTTTTATAATAATATTTCAATTGATTTTTTTAACCCAAACAACAACCACAACAAAAAAAAAAACAAAAACAAAACACAAAACAAAACAAAAAATATTTAAGATTTGAAATATAATGGAAGAGTATGAGAGAATGAGAGAATGAGAATATGAAAATATATGAGTATTTATAGGATGAGAAGTGATGGAAGTTACAGTTTAAAAAGTAAATTATGTGAGATATAATTCTAATTTATTGTGTGTTGATTAAAATGAAGTAGAGAAATATAGTTAATGCATAACTTATATGATTTCAGTTTTATATTAAAGTTTGAGTTAAATGTAATATCATTAAATATGTTTTATTTGTTATTTAATTGATAATTTTTTTTTTTAAGTTATATTTCCAAGTAAATCAATAAAGAGAGAGTGAAACTTTAGTTTTGTGTATATAATATTCTTATTGTGCTAGATTTGTTTTGGTCAAAATTTGTTTTGATCTGAATTCAATGATTAGTTTGGCTTTTTCCTTCAACGTTTTGACTTTGAAAAAGTTTTATGTTCTTCGTAGACGAGGAACAAGTACAACTCCCACACGGCCACACATACCCTCTTTATTTACTTGTGGAACTAGACTTTATCCAGACAGTTTTGACCTAATCCTACTTGTAGACAACTGAAAAAACTGTCGAAAAGTCTCGTAAACATTGAATTATAGTAATATCATTTTTAGAAAAAAAAAAAAAAGGAAGATAATGCAAAGTCAAAGATGAGAAAAATCAAATCTTATAAAGACATTAATTACATTCTTTGAACTCTTTTGCAGGTAGCATCCCTTGAAAAACTGTACAAGCTATTCGAACGATCGATGCTAATTGAAAACGTTGATGGGCTGATCGGAGATGGAACGTTTGATATGAGTAGACTTCTTATACTCTAACTATGTTTATAGACCTTTGAATGAAAAACTGGAACTAGTTAATGGTTAAACCAAGTGTGGCACGCATGACTGACCGAACTCGTCCCTTTCATTGACTTATATTCGTCAATTGAAGGGAAACAAAAGTAAATAGATTAGACCCTCTCTGGCATGAGGCGTTCAAATGACCGTTCACCAAAATATTTGTCCTTGGCTTGGGAAGTCTCTTGGACTTGATCATTCCTGTCACGTGTTGACCTAACAGAAGTAGTTTGAAAAGAGAAAGAGAGAGACATAGATAAGGCCCGCAGATGCGTTTGCCGTCCCTCAGAGAAACCACCTCTCTCGCTCCCAACGCTCCCGCTTCTGTAGCCCTGTCTCGAACTCATGGCTTGAGGTAAGGCCATGTGGCTTCTCCTGATTAGATTCAAGCTAACCAATTGTCTCTGCACCTCCTCCGGTAATTGCAGAGTGAATCGGTCTAGATTTTCACCTAGTTGAACCAATGAATGTCCGGTCGAATGAGATCTAGGGACGAATATCTCAGCCATTTTCCAGTTTGCCAATAGACCTGTAGACCTCGATCGAGGTGTTGTATAATTTGCAATATTACCTATCAAGCTTCTCTCATTGGGGGGTTCTTGAACACCTCCCGTTTCAACATCCATGTTTGGATATGGAAAACTCTCGTTGGGTTTCAAAGACAGATTTGCACGACAGACCGGGCAGGTGGATCGGGAAGAGAGCCACACATCGATGCAATTAGCATGGAAAGTGTGGCTACAAGGAGGCATCCAACGTAGCGTTTCTTGATCCTCAAACTCACTTAGACAAACTGCACATTCTACTCCGCCTTTGCCTATCTTGAGCCCTTTAACTTCTGAATACAGGAAAACCGGAAATGACTCGATGACTTCCTTCTCGAGCCCGCGCCTTGCCCTATTGTGCAACACTTCTTGGCCTGCCGCCTCGGTCTCTGCCCTATAGAATGTGCAGTGCAAGCAACAAGAGACCATGCTTAATGTAATAAATATTGCAAGCATAACGATTGCGATAATCGATTCTGTCGAGAAATCGGTTTGTACATTAGGCTTTGCGGATCCCGACTCTTGCTGGCATGTAACGTAAGGCAAAAGATGGAAAAGGAAGAGCGGCAATATAACACTTGATACGACCCGATGAAGGCGATATCTCGTGAAGATATTCATAATGTGAAGTGTGTACGTCCTCAATAAGATTCTGATTCTGATTATAGCGAGAGAAAGAGAAGAAGAAGTCGTTATACTTTAGATATCGTAGATCAATAAGATCTGCTCGTCACGACACTAAATATTGTATTACTACTATGTTAAGTTAGATTTGTTTTGGTCCGAATGATTGGTTTGGCTTCTTCCTCCAACGTTTTGACTTTGAAGAAGTCTTTATGTTCTTGGTAGACGTAGAACAAGTACTACTCCCGTACATGCCTTCTTTATTAACTTGTTGACTACGCAACAAGACTTTATTTGACAGTTTTGACCTAATCCTTACTTTGTGGACAACAGAAATTGAAAGACTAACACAAAGATAATTTTATTCACAAAGGCAAGCATGGAACGAAAAAAATCAATAGTCAAAGGCTAAGAGACACGATTAAAGAACTACATCAGCACGAAAGATATGACACGTAGAGCGATAAGAGAGCAGATGGCTACACAGATTAAATTTTCTCTGGCATGAGGCGTCCCTCAGAGAAACCGCTTCTCTCGCTCCTGTAGCCCTGTCTCGAACTCATGGCTCGAGGTAAGGCCGTGTTTCTCATCCTTATCAGATTCAAGCTAACCAATCTTCTTTGCATCTCCTTTGGTAACTGTAGTGTGAACCGATCTAGATTCTTACCTAGTTGAAGCAATGAACGTCCGGTCGAATGAAATCTAGTTTCGTCGGTGGGTTCTAGTACATCTCTTCGTGCATTTCCTGTTTCAAGATCCATGATCGGATATGGAAAGCTTTCACAAGGTTTGAGAGACAGATTTGCACGACAGACCGGACATGTGGACCGAGAAGAGAGCCACACATCGATGCAATTAGCATGGAAAGTGTGGCTACAAGGAGGCATCCAACGTAGCGTTTCTTGATCCTCAAACTCACTAAGACAAATTGCACATTCGACTCCGCCTTTGCCTATCTTGAACCCTTTAACCTCTGAATAGAGGAATAATGGAAAGGACTCGATGAGTTCCTTCTCGAGCCCACTCCTCGCTCTACTGTGAAACACTTCTTGGCTTGCGGCCTCAAGCTCTGCTCTATAGAATGTGTTGTGCAAGAAACAAGCGAGCGTGGTTATTGAGATAAACATTGCAAGCGCAATGATTGCAATTACCGATTCCGTCGGAAAATTGGTATTTCTGTTGCGGTCTGCGGATTTTGACTCTTGTTGGCATGTTACGTAAGGCAAAAAATGGACAAGGAAGAGCGGCAACAAAACCCTTGCTTCGATCCCATAGATGAGATCTCTCGCGAAGATAGCCATGATGTGAACCGTCCTTTTGCTGTTTGGTGGATCACTTGAGCTTCATTTCTAGAGCGTGATCAGAAGAGAATAAGAACAAGCCGTACGTTGTTATAATACTAAACAAAGTTTTGTTTGTACTCGTCACGACACAGTACATATTGTATTACTACTATGTTTAGTTTGATTTGTTTTGGTCGGAATTATTGGTTTGGCTTCTTCCTCTAACGTTTTGACTTTGAAGAAGTCTTTACGTTCACTGTAGAAGTAGAAAAAGTACTACATTACTCATGCCCTCTCTATTAACTTGTTGTCTACGCAACAAGACTTTTCCAACAGTTTTGACCTAGTCCTTATTGGTCAGTTACATCCTCTGATGTTTACGTCCTCTCAATGGGATGTGACGGACCAATAAGGTTTATGTATTTGGTACAAGCTAGATCATTCGGACCAAAACAAATATTGTATTACATCATATGATTAACTAATTAAATGTATGGCATATATCCGAACGTTTCATTAACTTGTAACTTACATATTTGTTGTACACAGAATAATAGGTGGTCCCTGTTCAAAGCCAAATAGATGTGTTACGTGACAAGTAACCAAAGATATAAACTATGTTTTGTAATTTTCTAGTCTAATTCATCATCATGACATTGAGATCTATAATTAGACAAAGGAAAACAATTGACCGATCCTACAAATATGGAAACTGAATAATGAAAATGAGAAAGTGGAATTATGGAGATGAGCTCATATATCTAAGGAAGGAGCTCTAAAGACTCTTATCTAATTATTATGAAAACCAGGAAACGATTCTTCTTTTCTTCATAACCGAGTCTCTCCGGTTCAATAGGTGTTGTTGTGGTTTGGCTTTCTTTGCATCACAGAAAGTTCCAGATTTTTACCACTCGTTTGCGTAACTGTAGATATTAGTGTATTAAAGATATTTTTTTAACAAAATAAAACTCAAAAATCTCGAAGGTAAAAAATAAACAATTTTACATATGTTTTGATCATAAGCAATGTTTTAAATCCGATCCGGACAGTCAACCGGACTACCTTCTGGATCACCGGATAATTAGATCATCAACCGGTTCAACTACGGGTCAATTATAGAGATTGATCAGATTATATAGTTTTATAAATATAAAATAAAAATAACTATATCAAGTTTAACAAGGTATGAAGTCTAACTAATAATAAAGTGATTAAATTTTTTAAATCCAACTAAATCAGTTTAAGAAGAACCGAATAACTGAAAAAAAATCTAAAAATAATTGAATAGTGAATACACCAAAGGCCTAAAACTTTATATTTTATTCCAAAAGACCAAAATCAAATAAATTTTGTTAAACCGAGGCTCGGCCGGTTCAACCGGTTCACTGGATTGCTAGTTAATGGTGGGTTTTTTGTGGGTTTTTCCGGTTTTAAAATTGCCAGATATTGGTACTAAACCCCAACCGAAAAAGTGTTTGGGTCGCGGATTAACCGGTCAGACCGGACGGTTCGGGTCGAGCGTGAAAACACTGATGATAAGAATCATTCAAAACCTAAATCTCTAACACTCAACCAAACTACACAGATCGATCAATAGCACCATTTTGAACAATAATTCAATATGCCTTTTATTCCTTTGTAGATATTTTCCTTCCATGGAGTAGTATCATCATTACGGTTGGTAAAAATATCAACGCTATAAAGATAATCTTATTTACAAAGGCAAAGTATGTAACGCCGCAAAATGCATAGTCAAAGGCTAATTAAAAGACTCGATTAATAAGGAGCTACATTAGCACGACAGATAGGACACGTGGAGCTATGAGAAAGCCAAATGTCTATACAGTCAGCATGAAACACATGTACACAAGGTGGTACCAAACGCAGCGTTTCATCGTCTTTGAATTCATTCAAACACACAACACATTCTAGCTCTCCTATTCCTGGCTCAATCCCTCTAGCTTTTGTGTAAATGAAAGAAGGAAACGACTCGATGGCTTCAGGGTCAAGCCCTCGCGGTGGCCTCCTCGGACTCATTCGAGCTTCCTCACTGTCCCCGGCTGCTGCGGCCTGGTTTCTGCATCGCCGAATGTAGTAATTAATGCAATAAAACGCTATGAACCCGACACTTGCTAACGCAAAAACAATTGCTCCTTCGTTTCTTTTAAAGTATGACATTTTTCGGATTTTAACATCTTCTTGAGTTTTGTAATGGGAAGACGTAAAGGAAGAAGAAGAAGAAAGAGAGAGACGTGGGGTTCACGTCTGCTTCGTAGTTTCTAGGTAATTTCCACGCGCCACCGTGTTTCTTTGTGTTTCATAATAAACAAGTGCAATGACTCTTGCACTTTCCCAGTTGCTAATATTTTTTTAGTTTCTTAATTAGACTAAACTAATTTGACGGAATCTAAATGAGATTGGTTAGTTATGAGATATTGTTTTGAATATGTCCATTTGTAAACATGTTATTCATAATCACATTCAATATATAATATACGGATCTGAGTTTGAATAAAATTCCGAAAAGTCTTAACTTTTTTAATTTACAAGAACACAAAGTTTTAATAAACATAGACTTTCAACTCAAAATCAGTTGACATGAGTAGAGAGGCTCATGTACTATATTTATTTCTTCATAAATCTTTCATCTCTCGATGTGGGATATAATCTAATACATAATAATCAATAATAGTAATAATCTATATATATATATATATATATATATATAAGAGAGTCTTTACTCCATCTAACATATCAACCTAAGCAATACTATTTATTGTACATTAAAATAAATTCAAAACATTCATTCAGTGCATATTTCTGTTACTTATAATTAATAAAAAAATAAAAAAAATAAATAATGAATTATGTAAAATAAAAGGGATTTTAAAAGAATAAAAATAATACTCTTAAAATTTAATTAGTAGTAATAATATAATTCAAAACATTCACTTAGTGCATATTTATGTTACTTATAATTAATAAAAAATAAAATAAATAAAAAACAAATTATGTAAAATAAAAGGGATTTTAAAAGAAGAAAAATAATAATCTAAAAATTTAATTAGTAGTAATAATATAATTAAACTATTATTAGATTAAAAAAAAACTAAAAATGATCATACTTCCAGTTTTTAAATGTGTTAATTAGATTGAAAGTAAATTTAAATCCATTGTAGAATAAAAGTATAAAACTAAATTTATGCAATACTCTATGTAAATTTTTTTTTAAAAACAAAGATTAAACTTAAAGTAAACATTAGTTTCTTGGAAAACTATACTACATATTTTTACTTAAAGAAAAAAGAGGAAATTATTAAATTCAACTTAAATTTATAATTAAAACAAAAGATATTGTAAGAGTCACATTTTATCTTGCGAAATTATAAAAAAAAAATCTTGAAAATTTTAAAACATTATTATACATTTTAAAAAATAAAATCAATGATCATATTCATGAGTTCTACAACAAAATATACAAAAAATAATATGTAAACTGTTAAAAAAATAATATATAATTTGTGTAGCATATTCTCAAGTAGAACTATTACTTTATAACATGATCAAAACGAAAAACAAGTTTGATATTTCATTTATTGAATCAAATGCTTTTAACCCAAAAAAATTGAGTATTGAAAGATATGAATTATAGAGAAAATAGTTATGATATGTATTGAAAATAAATTCAAAGTCCAATATATATTATATGTGAATCAATTGAAGGTGAAAAGAAAGTAGATGTCAAGAGACAACGAGTTTATCATAGAAGATGTCGAAAGAAATGATAGTTAAAAGTATTTGAAAATAAATTTCTAAAACTTAGAAAGGTAATGCACATGACTAAGATAAAGTCTTCGAGATCTTATTCATTGTATGAATGAGTTTCTTAGAAAAATACATGACATATATTATTAAACAGATTATTAGATTCAAACTTGGGCTTAACCGTTTAGCCATGTAATCATGGAGATAAGATAGACACATTGATGACTTAGTCAAAAAATTTCTTATGGCATGATGCACTTGCT